ATGTAAAGCACGTGAAACAACAAAGCTCAAGCCTGCCATACATCAGACGATAGTAAGCGGTGCCTCCAGAGATCCGCGTTGCGGCGACGTGCGCGACATCCGCAAAAGGATCTGATTCAGTCAAAACGAAAATACTATAGCATGTCAGGTCAACTAGCTGAGAAACAATAGCTCGCCGCTGCGAGTGGCCGCAACGAGGATGTCCTGACCCACGCTCCAGTAACTAGAAGTTATTCCAGATATTGAAAACAAGGCATAACTGATCTATTCGAAGGCTGAATGCTTCATGACTATGTAAAAGGCACAATAGAATATCTAAAGCAGATGTATATTAGGCGCCGTAGGAATGAATAAACATATGAACTAAAAAAAGGATAAAAAGCGCTCAAAGAACCAAAATTAAGCGTTAAGGCAAAACTAGTTAAACAGAAAAAGGTTAGCATAGAGGAAAGTGTGCAAATAAAAATGTGAAACGAACACCCGCAGAGTACATCACAGAGCAGTGGCGCCATCATCACGAGTATCTAAAACACCACCATAAAAAGAAATGGCTAAAAAAATGGAAAGCCTGACGTGGGAGTACTAAAAAAATAACTTCATTGGACAGCCCCCAATGTAATTCATGCGTGCTGCCGCGTGCACTTGCGCCATAGATGGCAAGCGCGGCATTTTTTAGATGCACAGACAGTCGGCAGAATGCGTGGCGAGTTTAGGCTACTAATCATCTGGCGTCTGTGCTCTCTTGGGCCGAGTTCATACTCAGACCCGCGCGATTCAAACGCGCGACTGCTCCCTTCAGAGGAAATCTTCGGACGGCTGCAGCGATCGAAGAAGTCTTATACTCCATGTGAGTGGATTTGCTGATAAGAGAGAGTCTGCAGTTTGGTGAACCATTGCCACCGTAACCGTGCTATTGTAAGAGCCTTCTCCCCTTCTCAGGCCAGGAGACACGCGCTCGAAGAGCACCGTGCACGCCAGGCATGTGAGACAGTGGTGCGTCCACGGCGTGCAGGACTTCGAGGAGGCGGTACAATATCTTGATTAGAAAGGACCTCAAAACTCGACAGAACGACAGGACCAAGCGGACAAAATACGGTATCGAGCGATTCCTGGACTGCGAAACTTTTTTTCGCGCGAATGATTCCTACAATTGCAGAGGCCTCAACGAATCAAGGGTGGAGCGGCAGCGTGCTTAGTCATACGATTCTCAAAATCGCGCGATTAAATAGCTAATGTCGGTAGTATGAACGCACTTATTGCCTACGGCCTAGGTACCCTATTCACGCCCATCACTCGTCAGCAAATACCTTTCCCCACAGAACGTTCCCAATCAAAACATGCACTCTTGCTTGAACAGCTTTGAAAAGTCATCTCATCAACAAAAGGGCATGTGCCCTGGAATACTTCAGAGGAACAGATAATTCAACGCGAAAAGCTCCATCCAGTTTCACAGAGGTTTTTCAAGATGGTCCGGCACATACTGGGAATGCTAACAAGAGACAGATCCCATAAGAAGAAATACTCTCGCGGACACTCAATGTGGAACGAGCGCTCGGCAGTTTTGCATTGAAAACAGAAGGTTTTCCAGTAGATTCACCGAAGGTTAAATGCGTTGGCTTGCTTCTGACGAGAAAGGAAACTTCGTTCCCGAGCAGAATCTGCATCTTCTGCCATACGACTGCATTCGTCGACGCGTTTCGCCTGAAAAATTCGAAAATATTGTGAGGAAAAAGGATGGTGAACGAATCAGGCCAGAATTACGTAGCAGTTAGCCATTAGTAAGTTGAAAAAGACCCATAGCTAGTCTGGAAAGCACAAACCGTACCATTCCATAAAAGGCCGTCGTAAGAAGCCGCTGCTCTTGCTCATGCATTGTGCTGGTTCGTTCCGCTTGCTCTTCAAGCTGTTTGATTCGCCTGTCCTTTTGCTCGATTTCACGACGCAAAGAGTCAAATTCATGACGGCTCAGTCCTCCTTCGGCAGCGCATTGAGCTGCTCTTTCCTGAAAAAAAAGAGATAGAAATCGAAATGCGATGAGGTGAGAAAAACTCATGGAAATAAGGAGCCATTAGAAAACTTGTGCAAAAAAAAGATCAATGGAGAAAGGAAAGGAAATTCGACGAGGCGCAGTATTATAACACCTTGAGCGCAGGAAGTTGAGAAAATCGCAGTACACATACTTTCAGGCTATACTGAGCGTAATATCAACACGGTACAACACCGCTGGGCGAATCCCAACGGGAGATATACTTGCTCGGGGAGGTGGGGTATCTGACCTAGAGGAAAATGGTCCCGGATTATCAGAAAAAATTTTCCAATTGTTATTATTCCCCCATATTATTTTTATTTCCACATGTGCTTCACACTTCCCCCCCCCCTCTCAGACTAGCTATCGAGGATGGGCGGTATCGTGGAAGACGAAATTCGGGAGAGAGGGGCATTGACAGCGCCAGATCACTCATCCAGATGCTGTACGCTGAATATCAGTGAACCGCGTCCATCATATTGTTACACAGAAACAGTTTGCATACAACCGATCAAGC